TTACTGGGAGACGTTACTGGGCCCGCTCGAGCAAATCAATGATCAACGGGAGGGTCTTTAATTTTTAATTTAATTTGGCAAAAGATAGACAAGACTACAGATTCAAGAAACAGAGCAAAAACCAGAGTGAATTAAGAGGCATTTGTACCACGATAAACCATTCATCAGACTTCAGAAGCCTGAAGACAAAATAATACTGTGTGCACATAAGTTGTCATTTGGAGCTTGAACTGCTTCAGAAGGGTACAGAGATGTGACAATGGCCCAAAACAAACTAAAGGACAAAAGACAAGGAATGTATTCCACATAATCACCTAAAAATACTTTATGGCTAAAAACAAAGCAAAACCAGTTACCACTCGTCTTAAGGTATTGTGAATGATGAAAAGGTAAACAGAGTAAAGAAAGCTTTTGTAAATATACAAAAGCTTGTGCACATTTCTCAAAAGGCCCTTCCCTTGAAGCTCTGCAGAAACAGCTGATTTCTCAACAGTGTCATGAAAATGAACCAGTTAATGCTAATGAAGCTAAAAAGTTAATGGCTTAGTTCTAACAGAACACTGGTGATGCATTAAATTCCCCCAAAGACCAATAAATTAATACACACACACACACACACACACACACACACGAAAACTAAAAACAGAAAAATTCTTGGAAGCACCAGAGACAACGGGAAAAATAATTTCAGGTGAAAGCAGATTTATTATAAAAAACAATGGAGTCCAAAGGAACAGTTTCCAAGTGCTTTAGGAAAAGAACTGTCCACCTTACCTGTGAGTGCATCAGCAGCCTGATGGCACCTTCAGACTTCCAGATACCCCAAAATAAGTGTTGTGCCTTTGGCCAGACCCCAAAAACTTGGGGCAAAGTTTACCAAGAAAGTAAACGGCCAAAAGTTAGGTATGTGGGAGACACACCCACAAACCACCTCAGGCTCAGCTATATAATTGGAGGCATGGCCTCTCTAGTTCCTGATCAAACTGCTTAACGGCCATGATCCCAGAGATTCAGAAACAAATCTCGAAACCCAATGGCTTTTGGCAGAAACGCGTCTGGTCCCTGCAATAGGTTACAGGCCCTGGGTGGGAATAGGTTTCATGCCTTGGCCTGTTCCCCCTGGCGGCTCTGTGGCTACCATCCTCCAGAGGCCACTGGACAATCAGGTTTGGGCCCACAGTGATGAGACATGTGGGGGCCTCAAGGGATGCGGGTGGAGCCGGCCTTTCCTCCCCACCCCAATGAGACCCCCAAGTCGCCACTCACGAACGGCCTCTATGGCTCCTGATCAAGCTACTTAACAGCCATGATCCCAGAGACTCAGAAACATATCTCGAAACCCAGTGGCTTTTGGCAGAAATGGGTCTGAACCCCGCAGTAGGTTACTGTCGCTTGGCCACCCCAGGGCGGAAGGGTGCTGTCCCTCAGTCTGCTCCCCCTTGGCGCTTGGTGACTGCCAACCGTCAGAAACCATTGGACAGTCAGGTTTGGGCCCGCAGTGACGAGACACGTGGGGCCTCACGGGATGGGAGTGGAGCCGGCCCTTTCGTCCCCACCCCAATGAGACCCCGAGTCGCAGCCCATGAACGGCCTTTATGGCTCCAGATCAAGCTGCTTAATGGCCATGATCCCTGAGACTCAGAAACAAATCTCAGAACCCAGCAGGTTTTGGGAGAAATCCATCCAGATTTAAAGTGTTAAAATTTTGGAATTTCAAAATCGTGCAGCCACACATATGTTATTCTTAACCAGCAACAGAAAACAAATTGTCTACTATTGCCTTTTCAACAAATCTGAGTGTTGGGGTAAAATCCAAAATAATAATGGTGGGTTTGGTGTCAAAATATTGAATGTGATCAAAGTAGAGAAAGAGTAATGTGGAAATCATCTGCCCCACAGGTAGGGGGTATACTGGGGTTTTTGGCAGTGGAGAATGGGCACTGGTGAAGGTACAGATGTTTCATTATATAACTGAGACTTAGACCCAAAAGCTTTGTAACTGCTCTCATGATGATTCAATAAATAAAATTATAAAAAATGGAAAAAAAAAGGTTAAGGTGGAGCTCATACCCAATGCAATCAGCTAATCAGTGGCTGAATAAATAACAGTACTCCTACATTAAAAAAAAAAACTGTCCACCTTGAGTTTTGTTGTCTTCTGTCCTCCTGGATAGGGTCCACAAAGCCCTGCCCTGGGGTGGCACAAACTTGGTAGCAGCATGAGGAGGGGTATGGGATTAGAATTGGCATTTGGTTGTGGTGTGTGGGATCATAGTTGGCAACGCAGGATGCTGGTATCACATTTGGGGTCTCACACCTACCTACAGGGTAGACACTCTACCACCCCATCACAACCCCTGGGTCCCTTGAACGTGATTTCTTTATCTGGTCAAACTCTTCTTTAGGAATAAAATAAAAGCAAAACAGATAAAGAAATGAATACTAAGAAAAAATAAAAGAAATCCTAAAAGAAATTCGTGAAGCAGAAAGAAAATGCGGAAGATCAGGGATCAGACATAGTACATTGGGGAAGATGCTTGTTGCATGTTCGATCCCTGGCACCACTCAATCCTTGGAGCTCACCACCAGGAATGATCCCTGAATGCAGAGGCAGAAGTAAGCCCTGAGCACTGCTGAGTGCAGCACCCCCACTCTAGCACTGTTCTCCCCTTGTTCGTCAATTTGCTTGAGCGAGCGCCAGTAACATCTCCATTGTGAGACTTGTCACTGTTTTTGGCATATCAAATACACCACGGGGAGCTTGCCAGGCTCTGCTGTGCAGGCGAGATACTCAGTAGCTTGCTGGGCTCTCCAAGAGGGACGGAGTAATCGAACCTGAATTGGCCGTGTGCAAGGCAAATGCCCTACATGCTGTGCTATTGCTCCAGCCCTTTCAATCACATATAAACAAAATAATTTAGCCAGGGGCCTCTTAAAAGACTTGCTGAGCCTGAAAGCACCCCCAAAGAGAAAGAAAATATGTGAGATTGCAGAAAGTGTATATACTGGTCTCACCCCACTTCCTTGATAGAGCTCCTGAAACCTTCATATCCTAAGGACTAAGTCCACCAGGAGCATTTTTTGAACCAGCATTTGGATTTTCAGCCCACTTCTTGACAGTCTCTATAGCCTCAGTTTCCTGCGTGTTCCATCCTAATGAGGTCACTCTTGGTGAGTTCCTGGACGACACTAGTCACTACCAGTACAAGCAAGCCAGAGGAGAAGCTGGAACTTTCAATCCCACCTCCCACTCCTAAGAGGAGGAGCTGGAAATAGAGACAACCAAGCTTCTAGGATGAAAACTCCACAAAACTCTCTTGCATAGGGGCTTGGGCACTTTCCCAGGTTGGAGGACACACTGTGGCTCGGAGTGGCCCACAGAGAGCCTGGTCGTACATCAGGCCCGGCTCACCAAGCAGCCCTGAACATATCTCCCTTCACCTGATCCCTCTAAAACAACCTTATAAACCTGTTGTCCTGAGTCATAGGAAGCGCACGAGCAAATTAACCTGACCCCAAGAGGTCATGGGTCCCTCGAATCTCCAACTGGTTGGTCAGCACACTAGGGACACTCAGACTTTGGACCGGCCCTGGACGTGGGGCAGTGACAGTCTTGTGGGACTGAGCCCTTAGCCGATGGAGCAACAACATCTTCAAGTGCTGCCACTGAGTTAAATTACAGATTAACACATAATGAAATTATAAAACTATTAATATGAAAGATTAATATAAACTAAATAAGGATAATATAATTATACACCATCTGATATCACAGGAAATGGTTTCAAGAGGGAAATTCTCACATACCAGTGTCTCTGCTTTTGGGGGCCACACCCAGCAGTGCTCAGGGCTTACTTCCAGTGTGCTTGGGGGTCACCCCTAGAGCTAGGATCAGCTGGTATTGGGGATGAACCCACGGGTTCCACATGTGAGGTATGTGCCCCAGCCTGAGCAACTCACCCACCCAGTAAGAAGTGCTTTCGGCTATGGCAGCAGAGCAAGAGCAAGGGAGAAACCCAGGAATGACAGAGATGATTCTGAATAGAAGGAAAGAACAAGTGAAAGAGAAAAAAATATGTGTAAACACAAGAGGCTCTTTTGGCTCCTTGTGCTGTTTTTCAAACCAGTAGTTTTTCTTGGCTGCAGTCCGCCAGTCCACAGGTAAGTGTCAAAAACCACTGCTCTAGATGATGTTTGGTGGTGAAGCAAAAAGTCTAGAATTGTCTAATGTTGTTTTCAACATAAGTAGAGGGCATATTACAACAATTAGATAAACAGGGGAGGGGAAAAGGGATTTACAGAGAGACTAAGATTGCTAGATTTTACTTATACTGGTAAAAAAAAAAAACCAACACACTAGTATAAATATTATAATGCAATACCTATAGTATCTATACAAATATCTATGTAACAAAGATAAAAAAAAAAGAATTTTAGAGACCAGAGAGATAGTACAGCAGGTAAGGCGCTTTTCTTGTATGCAGCTGACCTGGATTCAACCCCTGCCATCCCATATGGTCCCCCAAGCACCGTCAGGGGTAATTCCTGAGTGCAGAGCCAGGAGTAACCCCTGGACATCACTGGTGTGTCCCCAAAACCAACAAACACACACCAGAATTGCAGTGTTTCAAAAGAACAGGGACCTTCCCCACTCTTCGACTTTCTAGTGTGACTGTCATCAACTTCTTAACAACTCTATAAATGAGGTTAATAACATTCATGTCATATGAGTCAGAGTCAATATATTAACGAGAACTGACAAATCAATGACTATTTTTAATCCTAATGGGAGAGTGGGGCTGCCACACCTAGGGGTGCTCAGGGGTCAATGTGATGCCAGCTATTAAAAGGGTCAATCATGGGAAAGGCAGGTCCTAACTCCTGAATATCTCTGCAGCTTCTTAAACCTGGTTCCACTTCACCTCACTCTGGCTTGTCTAAATGAATATTTATAGTAGTTCTGAGCTTAAGATATGTAAGAAAGTTCTTATACAAGTATATGACCACGTAGGAATTAAAGTTATAATAATTTATTATTTGTAAATAAAGAATTTCAGTGGGCCTTCCCTTTAGGAAAAAAAAGAAACAGAACCAAACAAGGTCACATTCCCGGGTGAGAGGACATGTCCCCCCTGGGTGCTGGCCAGTGGGCAGCTCAGGTAGCAGCTCTCTTTAACCCTGACCACACGGAATGCTTCATTCGCTGTGAGGCCTTCACGTCCTCCCAGTCCAGCCTGATGTTGGGAACGTCATCTTCAGGCTCTGGGTCCTTGCTCAGAGCCCCGTGGGGAGAGGCGACCACAATGGGCAGAGGGCCACACTCCTCCCGGAACTCCACCACATGGAGTCTCTTCTTATCAGCCAGCTGTTGATGGGTCTCCTGGGAAAGACGAGAGTGAGAATTCCAGGTTAGACGCACGAGGTGCGGCAGTCACTGCCAGGAGGAAACCCTGCACAGCTGGGGGGCTTCAACACCACCTCAGGAGACAGTCCACCCGCAGCACTACCGCTCTGGCCCCACAGCTCACTTCTTTCCTAAAAATCAAAACACGCAGAATTGTGGAGTCTAGGACCAGGTGGCCGTAAAAGGAGCATGCAATCTCATCTCATGATATCTCTAACTGAGCATCACCAGTTCTTGAATGTGCTCTCAGTAAACCACACACTGGGCCGTCCGTCCTTACAGACTTCTGCAGCTCCTTGACTGAATCCATGGCTCTCACCTGGTCAGTAGTCAGCAACTGGGGCCAGTCTTCTTTCTCAGTAACACCCTGCACAACCCCAGCTATTTTAAACTAAATCTCAAGGCATTTTAGTTCAGTCGCCTCTAAAAGGATCGAAAAATTCCCCATACCTAAATGGTAATTTAGTATCATCAAATAGTATTCATAGAAATGGATACATTTGTTCAGATTAAAAAAAAATTCCCAGATTTGTTGAAATCAGATTGTAGAAAAGACCGGTATAGATCAGCCTTTCACTTTAGCTATCTTACTTCTGATACAAAAAAAATTTAAGTAATAAAATCATTAGGCAAATAGCCAAAAAAAAAAAAAAAAAGGACTGGTACATTATAAATTATTACTAGGCCCAGAGAGATAGTGCAATGGGTAGGGTGGGTAAGGTGCCTGCCTTGCACACAGCTGAGCAGAGCCAGGAGTAACCCCTGAGCACCAAACGGTGTGGCCTCCCCCACCCCAACCATCTCCCAAAAAGGAAAGAAACAAGTTGCTTCATAACAACAAAAGAATTCAGATTGGTCTATCTTATAACCAATGGCATGTTGCTTCAATTAGCAGCATTTTTTTTTTTGGAGTGTCACAATAAAAGCTACCTTTTTTTTAAATAAAAAAAAAACTGCTGAAGGTTTTTTAGAAGAGGTGATTCATACTAATTTCATTGGAAGAGCTGAATTACTAAAACAAAAAACAGGGGCCAGAACAATAGGGCACTTGTCTTGCATCGGACAACCTGGGTTCAATCCCTAGCATCCCTATGGTCTCCTGGGCCCACCAGGAGTGATTCTTGAGTGCAGGGCCAAGAGCACCGCTCTGAGCACCACTAGGTGTGGCCCCAAAAGCAAAATAAAATAATAATTTTCAAAATAATAAAATGAAAGAACATTTAAACTTGCCTATGTAAAACCTGTTCCTTAGTTACATCAATCAGGCCTCTAAGTTTGAATTCTAAGTGTTATTCTGAATGATATTTTAGACAATACCAACACACATACAAATGCTCCAAAAGATATCTTTTTACCAGTTTTCTTATCCTTTTAATTAATCTTCCTAGTTTAAACTAAGACATGTAAAACTATTCCATGGATCCTTTCATGTTGAACCAAGCCCTTGTCGTCTTTAATCCTGAGAAAGTCTGGCCACGTCCTGGATACGTGGAGGGCAGCCACGGAGGCGTCTCTGGAATCAGCTGCCCTTTCTATGCCCCCTACTCTGCTGAGGTCTCCAAATCTTTCAAGGGCAGGTTGGAAAGGGACACCAGAGGGTGCATACTGTCACAGTCCTTCCTCTCCACCCAGGAGTCAGGAGGCCAACAGTCTCTCCCGGGCTCAGGGGCAGTGGGCAGGGGACACCGGGCAGAGGGCAGGGCAGTGTACAGCTACACAGAGCAATAACCAGCCGGACTGACACTGACGGGCTGACCGGATCCGACTGAACTACTTGCACAAGTACCACCCAAACACTGCTGCCCTAAGACCTCTCAGGTCTCCAGAGGGGAGTGTCCCGCCAGGAACCAGACTTTCTCTTTCGACTTCACGCTTCTGCATTGTTGGGGCTTTAGAGCTTTAGAATAAGCATATGGTCCTTTCAAAACAAAACAGAGATTGTACACTGATTTCTGAAACTTCAGAACACCCATCGGAATGTCAGGTGGAACAGCGGAGTTTTCATGGACTCCTGAGCCAAACAAACTTGCCTGCTGCAACCACAACAACCGCCCAATCCAATCGCCCAATCCACAGGGGACCATAGGGCCCCGGGGCTTGCAACACCCCAACTCCGAGACACACCTATAGGTGTGTTTCGAAGGGCAGGGCAGGGTTACCTGGCGGGAGAGTCCGTGGAAGAAGCCGCGGGTGAGGTTGAGCATGTTGGTGGAGCCGGAGATCTTGGCGTACATGTCCTTGATGCCGATGAGCCGGCACATGGTGATGATGGCCCGGTGGCAACGGAGGCCATAGCCTAGGAAAGGGGAAGGAGTTAAGGGTAGCAGACTGAGCCCAACTCCTCCCCGGGGCCCCTGGACAGGGGAGCCCTGGCTCATGCTTTGCTTCCACCAACTTCCCTCGTGCTCCCTGATGACCTGCCTGGCATGTATTGACACTGTATATCCTAGGCGTTCAAAGAAATCTATCTATAGAAACTCTTCCTGAACACACTGAGGGAAGAGAATACAGCAAGGCTATCCTGTGGACTTGCAGACACCTCCTAGCCCGCGCCAGGCCCACTATGATCAATCGCCCTCTTTGAGCGCTCGAGCTGTTCAGAGCAGAGGTGCCTCTAGTCCTGGGCTTTTGGCCCTCCCTCTTTTGGATTCCCCCACCCCACCTCGGGGACTGTCCTTACCTCCTAAATGGCCTCCAGACCTCGTATTGCTTCCTGACAGCCATTCGTCCTGCTCTAGTCTACCTGCCACTCCTTCTCCAGGGAGTGCTTTCAAAGCACAATCCAAGAACATCACCCATTTGAAGCCTGAAGCTTCCCACCATTCTCTGCAACAGCACAAAGAACACCACTGCCAAGAAGCCTTCCAAGCTCTATTCTTGCTGACCTAATCCTGAGACACCAGCCTCCTCTGGCTGGCTGCCCCACCTCGGGGACTCTGTGACCTCAACCTGGCTGTACTGTCTTAGATCTTTCTCACCCTTAGTCTCCTTCAAATCCCTCCTTCCCACATGCCAACCTCCTCTGCCTGAACTACTGAAGGAGGCCCCCTCTCTCCTCCAGCCCCTCACCCCCCACCCCACTCTGTGGCCTGACTGGAGAACCAGAGTTGTGTTTGCCAACCACTGTGTCCCCAGAGCCTAGATCAGTACCTGTCAGATCCGAGGAGGAAAGAGAGAGATAAAAAAAACAAAAACAAAAACATTTATAAAGGCACGAGCTGTCCCATCAATACCTGGGGATGAGACAGTTAAAGGCTGGGACTGAATAAGCTTATCAAGGACTCTCAGAAGAACCAATGATCCCAGCAGCCCAACCACTCTCCAGTTACTGTTTTCTATTCCTAACATGCCTAGAGTTACTCGTAAGACATATGTCGTCTGCTTGTGTAAGCCTGGGAGCTTGATGGACCTCTTCTACTTTCCCCTTAAATCTATCATCAGCCTTTCCATTGTGGTGTTTCCAACCTAAGCTCAAGTGAAATACAACAAACAAAAAGAAAAAAAAAAGATTTCAAGTGCAAAAGGTGAGTAAAAATAAGGGACAGAACAAAACTATTTTAATTCCTCAGCTATATCTAAAGGCTTTTGAACTACCTTTGGGTTTCTTCTTCATCTTGATATGCGTCCGTTTAAATGTTAAAGAAACATCATGGTATACTGGAAAACACAAAGAAGGTACTCAGCTTTCATGCTCTTGCAAATATCACACAGCATTTAAAAGCACCTCAACAATCCAGCATACAGGGACCAAGGATGAGAACACACTCTGATTTCAATTATTACTCAGGAAAGCAAGTTTGTTTCTCTATCACACTTATTTATTTGTAAGAAAGGTAATAATGTGCAGAGGAAAAGAAAAACACCCACAGATACAGACTGTCATACATAATAAATCAATATCGCGAAAATTAAAAAAAAAAAAACGATTACCACTTACTTGTATGGTCTTCATATCGTTCTATGAAATGCAAATAGTGGACCGCTCTGTTCTTTGCCTGAAAGAAGAATATGTTCTTACTTCAATTGCTGGAATTTGAGTTTTCTGAGACTTAGAAAAACAGCTCTTCTACGTAAGAATTTCAGTAAACACTTCTTAAAGTCAAAGATTTAATCAAAAAAATTAATCCATCACTATCACATTTAAAAGGGGGTAAAGGGGAATGCAACAGTAAGTCCTTAATAGCTTTGAACATTCTATTAGGGTTCAAACTTTCTTAGTTCCCTTCTAATTTTATCACAGTTCTGACAAAATGATGAGGGAAAAAAAGTACAGATACTTCTGAGACTATCTTTTATAAAATAAGTAATTTTTGACAACATCAAATAATGGTACTTATTTTTATGATTTTTTTGTAGGTCCCATGGTGCCTAACACATAGTTTACTATCACCTACTGACACTTAAAAAAAAAAAAGCGTCCATACTTTTCTGAAAGCGTCTATCCGGTCAGTGGCTTTCCCAATGGCAAAACCTGGAAAAGAAGTAGGAAAATATTACAAAAAGAACTAAATTTGATACATTGTCTTCTACCATATTTGAAGTTTTAGCCCATATGATTTCATAGGACTTCATTTTTCTCAAGTCTAGAGAAATTCTCCCATACAAAATAAATGAGAAAGCACAAGACTACAGTGACAGGCTGGGATGTTTAGGGCCATTTTAGAAGTATTAGATTTGAACTTACCTATTAAACTAAAGGTTAGAAGCACAGTGTTACCCTTTATAAGTCTCTAGGTAAGACTAAATGCACAAAAAATACCGAAGAAGACCAGAAAAAAAAAAAAAACACACTGTACTCCTGCTCTAATTAAGGCTTTGAACATTTTGTGTTTGTTTGAGGGTCATACTCGGATATGTTCAGCGCTTACTCCTTGCTCTGAGCTCAGCGGTCACTCCTGGCACTGTTTGAGGATCATATGTGGTGCTGGGGATTGAACTGGGGTAGCCAGATGCAAGCCAAACGCCTTACCTATCTCTCCAGCCTGATTCTGAACACTTTTAAAAACAGATCAAAATAAGCTGAAACTTGGGAGAGAAGGACACTACTACAGAGTAATACTCTGATTTCACTGAATTCAAACACTGCATTCTTAAGTAAGCAAAGCCATAGCCCATGCTTCAAGATTTACCACAAGGTAACATAAATCTATTTTTCATTTGCTGTTACCATCATTTATTTCCAATAACGTCTTTTGTTTTTAAATTACACACAGAAAAGTAATATAAGACAATAAAGATATCTGAGATCTATACAAAACAGCTGGGGAAAAGGGTTGTAGGTTCCAATTCCTATTTTCGGAAACTTTTAGGAAATTAAGGGCATTATTAACCCTTGACCTATCATATATTTAACTTAATTGATTTCTGATTTTTCAAATTTAAGATAAAGTCTCAACATCATAAGAGTTTTGGGGTTTTATTCTGCTTTTATGTGGAGGGGGAAGGGAGGGGCTGGGCACACTCAGGGCTGCTCAGGGCTTACTCCTGGCTCTGCGCTCAGGGACCACTCTTGGCAGTGCTTCGGGGATGGTATGTGCTGCTGGGGATCAAATCCAGGTTGGTGTCGAGCAAGGCAAATGCCCTGTCTGCTGTATTACCAGTCCAGCTCCCAGGATCATAAAGGTTCTTAAACCTTTAGAAGCCACGTTTATTTTTCTTTGACTGTTTCTGGCATTTTGTCTTACTTTTTTTTTTTAATTAGAATTTTTTTTCAATTAAAAAAATTTCTTATTGAATCACTGTGAATTACAAAGATATTTATGATTGAGTTTCAGACATATAATGCCCCAACACAAAATCCACCAGAGTCCACTACCCTCCACTCCCCAGTTTTCCTCCCATCCTGGGAGAGGAAGAAACTCAGAATGCGTCTTACTTTGAAGATTATATGTAAACTGTCCCATGTTTTTCTCAAGGGAGACACAATACCCCAGGCCCCACCTCCTCACGGCACCGCCTTATTACACCCCAGTTACCTGCGGCTCCCCGGCCATTGCCCACAACGACTAGGACCCGAACAGATTTCTTTCTTCCTTCTTTCGCAGTCATATTGAAAACGTTTCTTACCTAAAAAACAAAGCGTCTCATAAACATTTCACCTTGAGGAAAAAAAACTGGATCTGGAGCTGGAGACATGCACATGTGCGAGTCCCCCCGCAGAGTCCATGAGCACCAACAACAAACTGGCTTAACGAAAGCCTCAGGAGTGAAGTAGGACAGATTTTGTCTAATGATTTCAGCATTGCAATCACTTTAAAGGGATCCTAAACTGTACAACTCAAAATACTCTATCTTAATGAATGTGACAGAAGAAACTAAGTCACTGATTAAACTTTGACCATTTATAATTTGACTCTAAGATATATCCCAATACCACATATCTTTACACATTTAAAAAACTGCCTCTTTAGAGATGATGCAATGAGGTACACAATGCAGAAATAATTAGCATTGGACTGAATCTCTGTGCTAAGGATTAGGCTCAACTGAGAATGGAAAATCTGAACATATTTGCTTATATTTAACGGTTAAGAACTATGAAACTGCAAACAAAACCACTTAAATAGCACCTCCTTCTTTATCCATAAAATAAGGTTCAAGGAAAAGAAAGCTTGAATCCACTCCTATGAATTACCTTACAGGAAATCACCCACATATACATGTATTAAGGGGATTAAATTCCAAAAAGGATAAATTGGGACGCAAGTCATAAACAACCCTGCAAAAATATTTTAAGTTCTATAAGATCTCTGATATTAAAGAAACAATACACACGCATGTTCAATCACAAATTCAGTCAGTGATTATTCCAAATGGTATTTACACTGAGTATATACTGAGTGTAAGGAAAGCTGACAATTATAGAGAAAGTTCCGGAAAGAGTGAAAGAAATTCACGTAATAAAGGCATCAGTTTTAAGGGGCACAAGCAGCCACGAGATCATTTCCCCACCAAGAGCTGGACATTCACTGCCCCGATCCAAGCTCTCTGCCCGTACTTATGGCTCCTCTCGATACTTGTAGTCTGAGCTGAGTGCCAGGTTCAGCTGGTTTAAAATTCAAAGATAGACTATTAATGCTATTTTAGCTTTTGGAAGAAAAAAATTAAAAATGATCCCAAAATTCTGCTATTGACAAGAACACTGATGTCAGGGCACCTCAAATATCAGCCCCACTCGATCCCCTACCCAAATGGCCCTGATCACAAGCAAGTATCTAGTAACTGAAGTTTATTTCCTCATCCATATCAGGTTTGTTTCTTCGTGGAAAGTTCTGCATGTGAAAGCTTTTCCTCACTGTTCTCTTGACCTATCCACCCTGACTTCTCCAAAGACTAAACTAGGTTCAGAGTGACAGTACAGCAGTAGGGTGTCTGCCTTGCACACGCCAGACCCAGGTTCAATCCCGGACACCCCTGGCATCCCATTATGGTCCCCAGAACCTGGGTGTGATTCCTGGAGAGATTCCTGGGTGCAGAGCCAGGAGTAACTCCTAAGCACCGCCCAATGTGCCCCCCACCCCACAAAAAAACAAACAAACAAACGAAGACTAAACTAGCCAGTTAATTCAGCATGCCTACCTCTAGGATCCTGGTATCAAAATCCTCGTATGTTTCTGCAGGGAGAAAAGAAATAAGCACACAGATAAAATGTGTCTGCGCTATTAAATGTACACATGCATTTCAACACCGGTACTGTCACCATTTTTTCCTTACTTCCTTACAGAATCATTTCTTTGCAGTACCAGTGATCAAACCTAGGTCTCAGACACTTTGTCAAGCACTCTGACTCCGAGCTACAGCCCTGGCTTTATCACCAGCACTTTTTTATTTTTGCTTGCTTAATTTGGGGCCCACACCTGGCAGTGCTCAGGGATTGCTCCCGTCGGGGTCAGGGGACCATATATGGGTCACTGAGTCCAAGGTAAGCACACTGCCTGCTGGACTATTGCTCTGGCCCCTCTTGGGTAATTTTAAAGCCAGTTCCACATACCCTGTCTTCTGGTGGCTATGTTCATCCAGTGCCCCTTCACTCTCAGCACAGGACCCCTATTGCACCTCAAGACTCTGTTGAGCCCCAACAGCCCCAAGATGTCACTCTCACCTACTCTGGAGCCCTTTCTCATTCGCAACAATATCAGGGAGCACTGGACTCTTGCTCTTCCCCACTCATGTCTCTTCCTAATTCATTTCCCTACACTCGGCCCTCTTGAAGGATTTCAGCCTTTTCTCTCTCTTCCCTTAACTTCATCCTCATAATGGAAGCAATCTAAGTCTCTACCTCTCAACTCCACCTTTCCTCTTTTAAGCCAAACTTAAGGAAGATGCCTGATATTTTATTTCTTCTTCTCCTACTCCTTGACAAGAGAATTTTTCCAGTGACTTAATTTACTCAAAAGGGTGGGAGATGGGGAGGGTGGACTTGGTTTTCCAATCTGACTTGGCAAGTATTCATTTTATTTTAGTTGTGCTGATAGGAAACTTAATGGCAATGACCTGATTTACCCTCTTATCAAATAGCACCCCCAAACCAAGATATCCAGAGGAGCTGCTCCAGAAATGTGCCATGAACAATAGGTGGCTCACAGATAGATCCACAAGCCACTCTACCATGTTTCAGGCTTGGAGAAACCATGTTGTCAAGATTCCAGAACCCAACACTTTCCATCCTGTTTGTAAAATACTTCTTGATAAAGGGCCTTCTAGTGCCCCATAAAATATAGCTGAATAATAACGTGAAGTTACGCCAATGACACCCAAAAGCAATAGAGACAAACACGCAAATAAAATCCTATGAAAGGATCCAAGCACTACCAGAATCTTTCTCAGGAGGGGAGGCAAAACCAGGACTTGGCTACCTCCATTGGGACCAGGATCAGGGGGGCCAAGACTGACGCCTCCCCACTGGTTTCCGCTCCATCCTCGCTCCCGTTTAACCTTCATTTTCCTCTTCCGGTCCCACTCTTCTCTTTGCTGGACCATGTTGGCCTCCACCTTCTCCTGCTCTTCCTTGCTTCTCTGGGCTATGGTCTGCATAGCTCCATTTCTCATCAGAGGGACATTCAGACCAGGCCATAGGAAGCCATGACGCCCTGAAAGTTTAAAAACATACAAACTAAGAATCTGCAAAAAGCATTCACTTATAGAGGGTTAAAGTCCCAGGCACTCAGCCCCAACAGTCAAAAATCTCCAGAATTCAACTGCTGCCATGCCCACACCCACTCTCCACTCACTTGGAGAAGCCTCACCCACGACTGATCTGCAGAAAAACCCAGGTATGCAGAACTTGTTACTGAAAACTCCAGGCTCAACAGAACCGGGAATGGGTAACCTCCTCCCTTCTCCCCCCAATTCTGGTAGCTTGGCAGTCACAAGCTGCCGATGGTGCTATATAATCTCATTAACGGCCATGATCCAGAGACTCAATATAAATCAGAAGAGAGCATAAAATACACCATAACCATGCCACCAGACTTCGTGCCAGGCTGCTTCATTCAGGGCAACCTGGAGGTGGGCAGGTGAGGTCTCCCCATTCCAACGGGGCCAGCCCCAACAGCAGAAAACCTCCAGAACTCAACCATCACCATGCTCGCGGCCACTCTCCACATGCTCAGACGAACCTCACCCATGAGTCAATATATTCCTGTGCCCTATGGCCGCACAACAGCTCACATACTTTACACCATCAATATACCAAAAGTAGTATACCACATTTGATTGGGATTAAAGTACAAGGCAACCAATCTTAGGGGGAATATATTTATATAGATGTAGATATAAGCAAGTAAGTCTCAACCTTTAACAACATGTAACTAATCTCTTATAGAAGGGCTTAATGCCTCCTGGGTGAAATATAACAATCTTCACACACTTTCCTCTAAGAAACCTCTTTTGCCTCATTTTCAGTGGATTATTCATAACAAGAAACACAAAATAAAATACTTCAGTTCTGCTTTGGGGGAAGGTTTTGGGGTTCGGAATAGAAATATGGTGGTGGGAAGGTATAATGATGGTGGGATTGATGTTCAAATATTAAATGTAATCAAACATTGTGAACAATTTTCAAAAATAAAATTAAAAAAAATTTAAAAAGTCCCAGGCACTATCAGTTAATTTTAGATTTACTACCTAAAAGGTGGTAATCCCACTTACGATTATTACAGAGAGAAGCAATCAGGGACGAGGCATGTATGTGCCTGGACAAAGACAATTTTAAACATCATCTGTAAAGGCAAAAAAAAAAAAAAAAAGGAAATGCTAAAAATGTCCAGCACTATCAGAATGGGAGTGACCTGAAATAGCCAACCTGAGACACACTCTACACTAAGAAGGATGTGGCAGATCTGAAGGTCCCAACGTGGAACAATTTCCAGACCTACTTCTGAGTGAAAACAGTGAAGTATAATACATGCTAAATTGTATAATTTAACAACCTGCCAAAAGAAGAAAATACATTTTCATTTTCATAATGCTTGCATATAAAGGCATTCTAAAACACAGAAAGGAACGTGCCCAAACGAAACCAGCAGTTTTCTTGGAGAAGCACCTGAGATTTGGTGAAGAAAGAAAGAGCACTGAAGGGGAGTTTTTATTTCTTTACCATCTGAATTTTTTACTGAGACATTTTACCTATAGATGACTTTTAAAAATACAATGCAGGGTGAGTCACAGAAAAACAGCGATGCAAACAAGTGATCCCTCGAGTACAGTGAAAAGAGCCGCTCTACCACAAAATCATTACTATCAAAGACACATTTCAGTCATCATAGTACAAAATGTCTGTCCAAGTAGCCCATACTTCAAAAAACAGGATTATAAACAAGCCCAGAGTTTCCCAAGTAAAGACCTGTAAGTGGTTTAGTTGGAACATAGTGTGGCCCATTTGATTTTGCATCATCTATAACTGTTTTTGCACAAGTTGAACAATCGTACCAGAGACCATGTGGCTCACAAAGCTAAAAATACGTAAATGTGAGAAATGGTTGCCAACTCTCCACTTATTCCATGTTCTCTCCCTCATCTTCCAAGCAGACACTACATCTGCTTCAGGTTTGCCGATCAACTGAACGGATGAATTCCTTTCTCTGGGATTCTCCCCCAATCTCCACCCAAATCATGGAGCAATAATAAGCTTTTGCTAAGACTTATTTGAAGACAATAGATTCTAGTACTCTTCATGAGAAATGTTTTCATGCTTGTAGTATGTAAAATGTAAAATCTGGGGAAGCCTTTAAAAGTACAGTAGCTGTCTTTCTAAGTAAACTTACCTTCACCAATTATTTGACCTCGGTTCAAATCCTTTCTCCTCTTTTTCTTAGTTCTTTTGCCTCTTCCTTTTCTTGCTCCAGCACCGGTCTCAGCTAATGCACCTTTCCACAGCTCATCTGCTGTCACTGTAAAAAAGTTGGTTTTTCTTAAAAATTTGATACAAGGCCTCCAATTGAACCAAAAGAAGCCAGAAAAGGCCAGCTTGACTTGTATCATTGGAGCAATGAAAATAAACTTAGAATCATTCCTTATCATTCCTTACAGATATTAAATGGTTACATTTGAAAAGCCCAGAGAGTTTCCATTACTTTGAAAGACTTGGCTTTCTTCCACAAAAGATGGCCAACATTCAAATCCAAGTTACTTTCCAACAGTTTTATTCCTCAAACATTTTATCAAGATGTTATAGGCCTCACCTCCCCCTTCCTCACTGTAATCATTGAGATCATCAATAACTATCCTTCCTAAATACATATGTCTTCATCCAAAAACAAGAGTACTTCAATCTATGTCCATAAACCCCAATAACTGGGTAGTTTCCTCCCTTATTCTGTAAATACTCTAAATATCTGCATATCCTTCAGAATGAAATGCCCAAATTCACCCATAAGTATAATAAGAATCTAAGTGACCCACAGGAAAGAATAAGTTTATAGGGATCTAACAGTTTATACCTAACTGTGTCCTAGTATATAGTTCTTAAGTCTTGCTTTTCTTTCACCTTATTCATCGATTCCAATTATGCTGATCTACTTCCACTTGAAATATTTTTGTCATATTCCCATTTTATGCCTGTAGAATATTTAGATTCTTTATATTTGACCACTACTGAATTATACTGCTGCAATTACATCATTTAATATATTTAAATTCTGTCTTCCCAAGGACTTGGGAGCTTTCCACAGCTTTACAAACTGACTTTATAATCACTGATTCTATTCCATCACCTACTTAACTATAATCAGAGCCATATAAATGATATATTAGTTTAAATTCTAATCCAGACAGAGAGACAATACAGGAAGGCACTTGCCTTGCATGCAAACGATTCCTGTTCCATCTCTGATACCACATATGATCTCCTGAACCATAAGGGGTCACTCCTGAGCACAGACCAAGGAACACCCCAGTACCACGGGTGGGCTTCCCTGCCCAAACACACAAACATTCTAAACTGCCTGAAACATTCTAAGTACATGCCTGAAATAAGAAACATATTCTAGAGAATACTCGAGTATCTTCTTTCTTCTCTAATGAACCTTTAGTACAGTGGGTAGGCTGTTTTCCCTGCATGTGGCAGACTCCGGTTCGAACTCCAGTACCCCACATGTTCCTCAGAGCCCTGCCAAGAGTAATCCCTGAACACAGAGCCAGAAGTAAACCCTGAACACTGCTGGGTGTGACAAAAAAACAAAAAAATTCAATGGCACCCATAAATGCCGTCAAGCACATAAAAGTTCACAACTAGAGCATTTTAAATGTGGCATTTTAAGAAATAAATCAATAACAAGTTTTCACCTATAATCATTGTAAGCAAACTGCTCATTAAAACTAAATTCAAGATTTAATTTTCAAAGTGCTTAACACAAAGATACAAAAGACGGAAAGGTTCAATTCATGTTTTTACAAACCATGTAGAAAATAAAGATTTGAAAAGTCTACTTAATTTTTCATATCATGCTATTAAAAATTATTTTAAGCCTGCCATAGAGGCAGGTAGAGGGGTAGGGGAAGGGGGGGGAGAGAAACTGGGGACACACTGGTGGTGGGATGTTGTACACTGGTGAAGGGATGCATGTTGGAACATTATATAACCAAAACCGAATCATGAACAACCTTAAGACTGTGTATCTCATTGTGGTTCAATTAAAAAAAATTTTTTTTAATGGTTTTAAACTTAAATACCATCAAGATATTTTTTCAGATTATAAAGGAAAGTTTTGTTTTTGGTTTGTGGGTCGTACCCAGTGTTACACCTGGCTCTGCATTTAGGGATTACTTCTGGTGGAAACTGAGGGACCATATACAGTGCAGGTACTAGAGTTAGGTCTGCTGCACACAAAGCATGCACCTTACCGCCTATACGATCCCTCTCAAAGTTTGATATTTTCAACTGTGAAAATGTAGACAATATGAAGAATGTAAACAATGCCATCACCACTATTAGATCAAATGTATATTCTTTTTCTTTATTCATGTATGTTTCTGACAAAACTGAAGTTACGTCATATGCTATATGTATTAGTACAGCAGCATTTCTTAATATTTTAAGTCGTTTCATATTCTCTGCTATCACTCATGAACACAATTTCAATGGCTGCAAAATGAATTAGGCTGTTTTCATTGAGACTTTACTATTTAACTTTTCAACTTCCTAGTCGAAGCTTTGAGTAGCTCCTGAGTATTCGGAACCACTGGGTGTGGCCCAAAATGAAAAACCAAGTAAAAACTAAAACATGCTAACATCAATTCTATCGTTTTTCTGGAAAGGCACAGATGGGCTAGTACGTATCTATTAAAGTTCTTAAAGTTATTAAAGTTCATGTTTTTAGATCCATGCATACACACAATCTACAGTGACATTCAATTTGATGCATGAGCTACTTCTCTCCGAATCACGCTAGGCAACACTGCTTGCTAATTTGGGTCAGAGGCATTAAAATGACAGTATCACTTCAGGCCCAACCAAGGCCATGAGTTGACCCCCACGAGCGGCTCTCTGGCATGGCCAAGGCACCAGAGGCATATGGAACTAATCCAGAGCCCCGCAGCTTGTGGCAGAAGTGTGAATGGACTATGCATTAAACTCTGGCGCCATGCCCCCCAGGAGGGAAAGGGTGTCTGTCTCTTCCACCTTTTTCCAACACCCCCCCCCCCCCCCCCCCGCAGCACAGTGGCCACAGCCTCAGAGCTTATTGGAAAGCCAGATATGAGCGGCGGGGGCAGGGGGGGATGGGGCAACTGCAGCCACATGGGAGAGGGGGGAGAACCGGCTCATCCTTCACGCCCAACCGAGGCCATGAGTTGCCCCCACGAGATGCACAAAAGTCAATCTCGTAATTATCCGGCTCTTGGCAGAAATCCCTCCAGACTTAATTAATAAAGTATCAGAAATCCAAAATCATAGCTTTTTCATAACCAGCAATAGAAAACAAATTATTTCACAATGCCTTTTCAGCAGTTCTGATTGTTGGGGGGAAATTCCAAACAATAATGATGCATCTTGTGTCGAAATAATGAATGTATTCAAAGTAGAGAGAGAGTTAAGTAGAAATCGTCTACCTCACAGGCATCGAGAGGGGTGGGGGGATATATTTGGGTTCTTGGTGGTGAAAACTAATTACTTGTGGCGGGGCGGGGGTGGTGTATGACCGAGACTTAAACCTGAAAGCTTTGTAACTTTTCTCACAGTGATTCAATAAAAAAAAATTGTAAAAAAAATAAAAAATAAAAAATAAAATAAAATGACAGTATGGCAGAGACTTAGATTTATAAATACAATGTTAAACATTCTGAGAAAATCCTATGCATTCCTTTTTGAAGTTTTTAAAATATTTCTTGGAGATTTAGAAAATTGAAAACTATCTCTCCCCAGAAATAGCAAAAACTAGGCTCATGCTATTTGAACCATGTTTACCGAGCCAGAAACTAATCTCAGTTATGACTTGGGAACAATAAACACATAAGGGTACAGAGTCCTATCACTGAGGAAGTGAACAGGCTAATATGCAGTGTCATTCCTGTGGAGTAACAGTGCAGGAACAGGAGTCACAGAAGGTAAGGTGTACTCCTGTAGCAAGAAGAAACAGGGAATTTAAGTTTTTGAGGGCAGGAGAAGAGACTATGAAAAAAATCCCAAAGGCCTGTAAATCTGATATACAAGTACAATTTGTATATCAGATAAAATTATCTGTATAATTATCTATATATTATACAGATCACAATATTCAAATGTATTTATATGCTAAACAGATTATAATAATTATAATTATTATAATACAAGTATCTGTATATACAATACTTGTATATACAACTTTTAAGTCAATTCTTCGAACTTTATGTCAGTTCTTTGAAAAAAATCAGACAAGGGTCACCAAGGATGTGAAGGATGCCACCTCATTGACCTCACTTATCTTGGCACCAAAATCTGCAGATACCATTAAGCCTATGTTACTTGTAATTCTCTGACCATGGGACCTTCTTGTCTATATTGATATGCAAATCACCTTGTTAGGAGACTTCCACATTAAAGCGATCTGTACCCACATAATGAAACTACTCTCCAGAGGTGAGACTGCACTGAGAAGTGAGGCGGAACGAAGAGTGTGCCTTATGAGGCTGCAGGGAAAGCAGCTGACTCAGCAACCTCACTCAACGGCTGCACAATTCTGATTTCTCTTTTAAAGAAAAAAATAATTGAATCACCATGGATTACAGTTATTCAATTTTAACTTCTCTTAATTTGACACATGCTGAGCTGTGAATAATTTATTACCAAACAAGCAATTTCTGTTCAAATTGGACTCTTAAAAACCATCCCAAACAAGAGTGGATTTTGGGCAAATATCTATTTAAAATTAATGTTTCCTGATTAGATGTCCTAACTCCTTAACTGAACACACAACTGAGGAACAGGAGTGCTAGTACAGTGAGTAGGGAGCTAGCCCTGCACACAGCCAACCTAGGTTTGATCCCCAGCACCACCAGGAGAACAGAGCCAGGAGTAACCTCTGAACACTACCAGGTATGGCCCCAAAATAAGGAAAGAAAAAAAACCACAATTGAAAACAGATTTGAACAGATTCTTGAGACACTCATCAGTAGAGATATGGAGAGTAACTCAATGCGCTTTCAGTATTAAATACTCAAACTGGGAGATGAAGGTAAACTAGTGCTCCCTGAGAAGTACAGTTAATAGCGTGTGAGATAATTTGACAACACACATAAACGAAAGACCATTTTTGTTTCCAGAATGCATCATGTACTAGTCACTCTTGTGTTAATGAATTTAAGAAAGAAAAACCAGTTTCAAAAAGAAGCTTTTAAGATACCATGGAACTGATGGGAGGTTTACGGTCACTGCACATACATTTGGTGAAGAAGCTATAGGATCGACGCTGCTGGCCTATCAAGTTTCCAGGAGAAGAAACACAGCACTGTGTCTGCAACGCGTGGGCCAAGCCTGAGAGAAGATGGTTGTCTCTGGTTCCTGGCGATGTCCAAAGGCCTGCAGGCAGACAGAATAAAACTAGAGTTATACCCTTTGCTGCTGTGGAGAAACACCAAACAGCAACAGTAATCATCATTACATATAGAAAAGTCACTGAAATGTCAAAGTTAGGGGAGGGGGTATGAAGGGCACACCTAGCTGTGATCAGGGGCTACTCATGGCTTGGCATTCAGAAATTATTCCTGGTGGAGCTCAGGGGACCATATGGGGTACCAGAGATCAAACCCAGGTTGACCACATCCAAGGCAAGTGCCCTACCTACTGGACTATAGCTCTAGCCCCTAAAATGCTAAACTTTTGTGAATCATTCTGAGGACCATTTTTTGGCCTTTTTGGACCCCTTTCTGGCTAAGGCATTTCTCTGCCAAGGAAGCCAACAATTCAATGTGAGGGCCGAGAGCACAGTGCTGCTTGGCCCGGCAGTGCCAGGGATGGCCCAGGCCTCCCCAATGGTGTTTGGGGCCTCACAGGGTTGTACCCAGCAATTAATATGTATGAGGAACTGAACCAAGGTTGGCCAGGTATATGCCTGAACCCCTGGACCATCTCTGTGCTCCCAAGAATAGTCTTCCCTGAAGAAAACAAAACTCGGGGCGGATAACCTATGCCTAAATGTCAGTTCTAGTTAGAAGAGTTAGTTTGTCCACACACTGCATGAAGTGCATGGAAAAAAACTTTTTTCAGTCTTTGGGCCTCACTCAGAGGTGCTCAGGGGCTACTCCTGGCTCTGTGCTCAGGGATCACTCCTGGTGGTGCTCAGGGGACCACATGGGGTACTTAGAGGACCACATCAAATCCATGTCGGCCACGTGCAAGGCAAGCACCGTGCCTGCTGAACTATCAACTAGGCTCCTGGATGGAGTTGTCTAAAGAGCAGCACATCTGTCCAACACTCCTGCCTGTCAATTCTAGGGAAATGGCGACCCCTGCTGGGCAGAGCATCCAACCCTCCAGGACTGCAAACCAGACTAGGAGACCCTCAGAGGCTAATTCCAGAAGAGCATCCCTCAACCTCCCACCACACACACACACACACACACACACACACACACACACACACGGTAACAGTGGACGGACACACACACACACACACACACACACACACACACAACGGTAACAGTGGTTGCCCCTAAGAATGAAAACTGACACAGGTAGGATATGAAAGATTTTACAATATACGTTTTGAAATATTTTAATCATATGCAAGATCACTTTTTAAAAATGTTTTATGGTCCCCACCTGCTAAAGCCAAGCCAGTCACACTCATGGTTCACAGCTGCCACCAGGCCAACAGTCCAGCTATGCTGCTTCATGACTAATCTCCAAAACACCCAACTTTCTATGTAAAAGGTCTCTTATATTGGATAATTAGGAAAGTGTTTGGGAGATTTCTGGGAAAGTATTGCCATGTTTCTAACTAATCTGTCAGAGATTTTAGAAAAAATATGGCAACTGATACAGAGAAAACTAAGCAACTTATAACAAAAAGGGAGGGGGAGCATGAGATAGTACAGTGATCAAGGGTACATGCCTGGCACGGACCAAAACTGAGTGTGATTCCTGGCACCACACAGCCTTCCGCCCACCACCACCCTCAGCACAGTCAGATGCCCTGGAGCCCCCCCCCCCAACAGTGCTGGGAAGGATTACCACAGGGCCTCCAGAGCTCCATTCCTTAGAAGACCCTTCACCTTCCCCCCAAAATATGTCATTTATCAAATCCAAAAAGAAGGAAATGTAGACAGTAAACATAATGACGGTATACATCCTTGCTTAGCTGTGAATAATAAAACATAATAAAAACTATAATAAACACTTCCCAGAGATTTGACCAAATCTGACTTTTCAACTATATTTGGGATAAAAACAAGGATAAAGTATAAGATAAATATTTTATTAGCATAACAAACAGTAACAACAAAGTCTCCAATGGAGACGTTACTGGGCCCGCTCGAGCAAATCGACGATCAACGGGAGGGCCTTTACCTTTTTACCTAACAAAATCAACAGAGAAAATAGCAATCTATGCATTGCTATTTTCAGAAATATATGCAGAGGTTATAAGAATTCAAAGTACTGATGAGAATGGGCAGAGGTAAAGAATTGGTTTTAAGGGTGCTGGAGCAATAGCACAGCGGGTAGGGCGTTTGCCTTGTATGTGGCCGACCTGGGCTTGATTACCAGCATCCCATATGATCCCCCAAGCACCACCAGGAATAATTCCTGAGTGCAGAGCCAAGAGAATCCCCTGTGCATCGTTGGGTGTGACCCAAAAAAAAAAAATTGGTTTTAAGATACAAATCTATGAGGCCCCTGCTTGGAAATACGATTTTTAGTAGTATGACCAAGCACTGCTCTGGGGCCACCAAGACTAAACCCAGTGCTGCCCAGAGGGCCTCATGGTGCCAAGGATCAAACACAAGGTCTTGCCGTGAACTCTCCTACCTAAACCATCTCTTTGACCCAGATGTACATAATAAGTACAGCAATCTCCCAGCTAGAAAGAACTATTCATGGTGCCACCATCTCTCCAGCAGGCACTTACCTGCTATCAAGCCCTTCTGTGGGGTCAAGCCCTCAGCTAAGGGTGCTCCTCTGTCTCTGGGTTCTACTTTACCGTAGGGTGGGTCAAGCGCTTAGCCTAAGTTCAGGACATATGAGTCTCACTCAACCAACAAATGAGCAAACAGGTGGAAGAAGCCAAGCCCATCAGACTCCTCAGGGGGACCACTGGAGCCAGGTAAAAAGGCTTCTGGAGGTGGGGAATCAATAAGATGCAGGGACTGAGACACAAAGTAAAACTCAGCACACTGAGCTGCTGAAAAGCAAGGACCCACCAGCATTTCCATTCTGCTCCAACCAGAGCCAGTCAGCCAGCATGCCTGACAGCCTTCCTTGCTACCTTCCTTCCAAAGAAAGGGCTTGTACTATGTCTGATGAAGCAAAACCCTTCTACAAATATCCTCTGTTAGTGGAAGGCATCACTGTACCTATCCAGAGAGCTCACAACTCAGTCCTGAATCTATTGGCTGTGTGGTATCAACAGTCACTTTGCCTCTGGAGACTCACACTAAGTGGGACTTCCTTCATCATTACACTTCATCTGTACAACAGGAGTGGCAGCTCCCAAAGAGCAGGTATGCAGATGAATCTGGATGACTTATGGCAAGCCTGATGCAAAGGAATTACTCAATGATCACAGCTATTATGTTCATAACAGATAAAGGACTTTTAAATGTAACACTAGTTTATAATATATGTACATTTCATGTCGGTTCATCCTATGACTAATGAGGTATAAAAGACTATACAGATGTGTGCCTTTATAAATCACATCTAAACAGAATCAGTTTGGGTCCGTTACCTTTTAGAACCTTGAACTGTGATCACTGTAAGCACTGAAAACTTAAAAAGGAAAAGGGATGTAGCTCAGTGCAGATCACATGTCTCACACGTATGAGGCGCTGCCTCTGATCCCTAACAATGAAGGGGAAAAAAGAAGCTATCCCTTCTATCTACCTCTAAGAAAAAATTGTAAATATACTGCACTATATCCCATCATAAAGCACATGTTTAGTCAGCTTACACTTTGAAAAACATCTGATCACAACAGAAAAAGTAATTAGGTAAGTGAATCTCACCATTGCTGAGAATAGGCTTCAATGTCAAAGCAGAAGATGCTGGAAAGGTGTTTAGGGTAAGATGTTGGGCCCGGAGATGACCTACAAAAGTAATAAAATGGAATCAACATAATTTCTTCATGAAAAGTAACATTTTTAACATCAAAGGAATAGTAATACATATAGGAAAAAAGATTCAAAACAAATAAAAAATGAGTCATTTCCAAGGTACATTATCACTTGCCCAAGTAGCTGACAGCAGGTAACTTCTCCTTCACTCACACATCCAAACATTTCCAAGCCCAGGAAATTCTCCTCAACCCTCAATCCTCTGCTAGCTGCATCTTCTTCTGCACTTTCACTGTCGTTTCTCTACTGGGTCAGGCCTTCTCATGCCTCACACCCTCGAGGGGGCACACCTGGCTTCCAGATTTTCTGCAGGAAATCTCCATTTGCTGTCACATCAATCACCTAAAGATCTGGTCAGGTCCTAGTCCTCATCACCACACCTTGGCTCCTGAAAGCCAGCGAAATAAACTCAACGCATCCTCCAGGGCCTTCAGCAATAGCCTCATCTCCGACCATTCTCCCCTCCACTCTGCAGCCGCCATCTGTCACACGCTAGGCTTGAGCATGTTCTGCTCCTACATCCGCTGTCTCTGACACCTCCTGGCTGGTATGAAATGCATCCCTTGGTGAGCCTGCTTACAGTGATCACAGTTCAAGGTTCTAAAAGGTAATAGACCCAAACTGAAGGAAGGCAGTGATCACATTGACAATTAAGAGTTTAAAATAAGAAAGTTCAGACCTCATACATACACGCATAAAGCCTCCTGAGGTTTCAGAGATTTTAGGATTCGGGAAGTGCAAATGCTTAGATTGTGAGTCTTCAGTAAGAACAGTGAAAGAGAAAGCAAGGAAACGGTTCCTCGAGGTAAACTTTTTGTGGGCTTTTACCAGCCCACTGCCCCGGGAAACGGTTTTTTGGGTAGAAAGAGGACAAAACCCAGCAAGATTACTAACATGAAATACGCGCCCCTTAGAAAGGCACTGAGCGTCCCCCTAACGAAAATCACGCAGGGCCATCGGTGGGAGACTGCCTCTCCCTCTGCAGAGGTCGCTAGCCTCTACCGCGGGTCACCCAGCCAAACTGTGCCCCTTCTGGGACGGACACCACGTTAAGACCTGGAGCCCCGAGAACGAACGACCTTGGAGAGCGCCCACTGCACCCTCGCAAGCCGGGCGCCAGCCCCGCGCTCCAGCGTGCAAAGGCGGCGGCGCGCAAGGTCACACAGAAAGGCTCGAGACTGCGGCTTCCTGCTGCCGAGCGTCCGCCAGACCCCGGGCGAGCTCCCCACGCCCACCACGCTCAGAGACCCTGAGCCCAGGACCCGACTCTCACCCGTCCGCGCGCCGCACAGCGCGGAGAAGCGGCTCGCAGCGCGCACGGCTGCCGCCATGCTGGGGCCGCGCGAGAGCCTCCCGTCCGGGCAGCCCGCCGCGCCGCCTGACGGGCCGACGCCCGCAGTCGCGCCAAGGTGCAGGCCGGGAGGCGGGACTGCCGGACCGGAAGGAGGCAGGAGTGAATCCGGCACAGCGGCGGACAGCCCCGCGGGTCCTCGCGTGAGGACCCGAGGGCGGGGTTTGCCAGGCTTGAATCCCGTTGGCGGCCTCTGCCCTTGGTTCGCTGCTTTATCGACCTATTATTTACACCCGCTCCTCTGCGACCCGCTGGTTGGAAGTGCTGGCGTGCAGGAGCGTCTCCAGAGGCGCAGAGAAGAACCGAGAACTGAATGAGATGTACTTAGTGAATGAGGGACAACGTGTCCACAGCCAACTCCTCTCAACCCCTGGAGTCCGCTGATTTGACTTAAAGCACGACTGTTTCTTTGATCTTCCTAGGGATAGGAAACTTAGGGATAGGATACTTCCGACTCGAGCGCTCTGCCACCCACTCTCACAATTGCCTCTTATGTTTTTGTCTGCGGGAGCCACACCTGGCTTTTTTTTTTTTTAATTCCTCAAGGCATGGATTTTATCATTAAATGATCCAGGTTCTAGGGGGAAAAAAAGCTTCAGAGAAGCTAGGATCTTACTCAGACAGACCTCTGATACTCAAATTTAGTATCAATATGTGCAAACACGGAGTGGGGGGAAGTGAAAGTCTAGAGTCAACGATTATCAAGATGATACCACCATTGCTTTATCTATTGTTCAATATGTTGATTCACACCTGTTTTAGAGTGAAAATTTTACACTTCTAAAGTGCATCATATCATACTATAGAAATGTCTTAATGGCTCCTGCCAAAATAGAACAATCTCCACAGTTTCCTATATGAACACTTTTTTGTAAGCATGTTCAAGCAGTTCTTCATAACAGACAATACAAAATATATTCTTTCGGTTGTGTTTTGGGACAGGAAACATCCCGAATTTGGTGGTGGGAAGGTGTAATGGTGGTGGGATTGGTGTTTGAATATTAAATGTAATCAAATATTGTAAACTTATAAAAAAATTAAAAACAATAATAATGGTGGTGGGAAGGTGTAATGGTGGTGGTGTTTAAATAATGAATGTATGTAATCAATTATTGTGAATTTTTTTTTTTTTTTGCTTTTTGGGTCATGCCCAGTGATGCTCAGGGGTTACTCCTGGCTCAGGCACTCAGGAATTGCTCCTGGCAGTGCTCAGGGGACCATATGGGATGCTGGGAATCGAACCTGCGTCAGCCATGTTGGCTGCATGCAAGGCAAACGCCCCACCCGCTGTGCTATCGCTCCAGCCCCAGTGAAAATTTTTATTAAATTAAAATTTTAATTTTTTAAATAAAAAGAAAAAAATTAAATGCATCATATTTTCAATAAACTTTGGTGCAGAGAGCCTCCCCCCTCTCCCCCAGTAGCATGTTCAGGGGTAACTTCTGGTTCTGCACTCAGGAATTACTCCTGGTGGTGTGGGGGGGGGGGCAGAAGGGAGTTCAACCTGGGTTGACCACTTGCAAGGCAAGCGCTCTACCTGCTGTATTATCTCCAGTCCCTCAATTAACTTTTGCATATCAAATTGGCTAACAAATCCAAATCACCTGAACTCCCAGGGGGCTGGTTAAGAGGGACTGAAATAATGGTTAGAGAGCATTGCTGCCTATTAATAATTCATGTCTGTCAGTTTCCCTGCAAGGACAGTCCCCCCACAATTCCTTCTTTATCTGTATCTGCATGTCATTTCTCTTTCATGGAAGGTTTAGGAGACCTTATCACTGAAAGTGATAGTGACAGAATGTGATGAAAAACTATCAGATTTGAGAAGGCAAAAGAGAGTACCCGTTAGCCTGAACAGAGATCAATAAATATTACATAACACAAAGAATGGGGAGGGGTGAAGACTGAAGGAAAATTAAGGTTCTCACTTTAAAACCCCATTCTCCTCATTGGACAGCTCAAGTACACAGAACACCATTAGTAAAGAGATAACAGATCTAAATAAGGAATTGAAAGAACTGGAATCAATAAACATGTACAGAACCCTCTGTCACCAGAAAGCCAAATACAGTCTCCAATGTACATAGAACAGTGTCCAGGATAGGTCACATATGTGTCCAGAAAGTCACAAATAAAAATCATACCAAGTACTATTTCAGACCACAACGTCATAAAGGTAAAAATTAACAATGGAGAGACACACAAAAGAATCTCAGAATGGAGCAGCTTGTTGCAGAGATGCCACCGTACTTTGCAATAGGTATATTTCACAGGGCTAGTCCAGATGGGAGCAGGTGCTGTCCCTCTGCCTGCTCCCTAGGAATCCTGGAGGCTGCCACCTTCCAGGACTCAATGAGAAGCCCAGGTACACAAGAGCAGTAATGGCAAACACCAGGCCTCACGGAATAGGGGATGTGATGTTCCCTCTCATCTCTCTGCCCTGATGGGACCCTGAGATGAAGCACACAAACTGCCTCTAGCTACTATTTAACCTCGTCAATGGCCATGATCCAGAGACACACAAAAGAATCTCGTAACCAAGCAGCTCACTGCAGAGATCTCTGCAGACCCTAATTATCAAAAATTTTAATATTCCAGGAGTGCAAAGCTGCATGACATTTTATGCTATTCATAACAAGCAATATAAAATAAATCATCTAGCATTGCCTTTTTGGCAGGTTTGAGTGGTGGCAGGAAAATTCCAAATAATAATGGTGGGACTGGTGTCAAAATATTGAATGTAATTGAAGTAGAGAGAGAGTATTGTGGAAATTGTCTGTCACGCAGACAGGGGAAAATGTCTCACAGGCAGAGAAGCATTGTCTGGTCAACAAACACTAACAAAGGGAGCTTAGAATTTCATTTTTCAGTTCCTGGCCTGCTCACAAAATATTCAAATAAGCCAGTCACATTCTTCTGGGGGACTTGGGTCACATAACATTCTTGACTTGACAGAACCTGCCTCCCAGTCTATGCTGTTTACTGTTTTCAAGTACAAAATCCATGTTGCCAGTATGGTGTGAGTACACTTTCTTAACTGTGAAGAGTTAACAACTGTCAATCGCACTGGTCATATACCATCCTTATAGTCATATTACTTCCTTTACAACTCTAAGTTTGTCCAACAAAGCCTAGAAAATAAATATGTATCAGAAAGCACAATACCCTGGGGACTAGGACAAAATGTAATTTTTTTAAAAGAAGAGTACTAATTTTATCTCCATAAAAAATTAACTACATAGTAAATTTAGAAGGTATGAAGTCACTCCTTCCTTTCAAGACCTAAGAGTTGTGCAAAAGAGACTGTGGATGTGAAAAGAAATTATTCTGTGATCATTGTGCATATTGTCCAGATGGTTCTCAAACAAGCAGTCTCAGCCAAGACTAGATTGCTAACAAACCCTCAAGGGAAAAGTCTCTGAAGAAACCCAAAGAGGCCATAGTAATATAGCAACATTTACTCCTTGAGTGTAAAAACTGTTGCACATGTAAAAAAAATTGTACACATAAAAAATTGTACAGTTCAATCAGGTAATCTAGGTTGCTCCCCAGGGAGCCACTTGGGGGCATCAGATGAATTCAAAGGAATATAAGCTAATTTTTCTATGAAACTATGATACCAATTGATGTATTATACTAAAATTAGCAAATAGTATTTTAAAGGACATGAGAAAATAGTGATTTTTAGACCATGCATCACAAATCAGCATAGTCTTTGAAATATTATAAAAATGAGACATAGCCAAACTCTCAGGGTTCTTGGGACACCTTCATATGGATTTTATTAGCTTCCACACTTCAGGAGATATGTATGTTTTGATTTTCATGTTTGTTCAGGATGGGTGAAAGTGTTTCCATACTCAAAACCTATTGTCCTCACACACAAAAATGGTTGATTTAGTTTTTCCAAACTGAGACATCTCAACTAATATATGAAATGGCCAAGACAAACACTTTACCAGAATCCTTAGAACTAAAAGAGGCATTAGCCTTTGCTCAAAAGTCATGTTATTCCTGACAGTCACAATATTCTGGAAAGGATGAAAGAACCAATAAATTATAAAAATTTCAGAAACTCCTTAGTGCTCTAGACAAAGGTCCACATAGAATTCTTTGTGATATGGTTTACTTAGAGATAATTATCCTCCCAAGGCAAAATACTCCAAGGAACTCATGAACCCTATCACCAACAGTTTATGAGCATCTTCCTATATCTTCTTATGGCCTCATTCTCATCTTTTCTGTGAGGTTTTGAAATCAGAAAAGACATCAGAAAAACAAACGATTCTTGAACCTCATTTTATAGGAATTTATAATGTAGTTAATAAAAAATACAGAAAAGAAACTCTAGAAAACTAATCCTAAGCATGCACTTGACAATTAGAGAAGAAATTAAGAATGGACACTATTGGAACTTTACTATGAAAAGGGAGTTCAAACTGAATATTCTCCAAGATAATCTATACAGGCAACTGATCTTCAGAAGCCAAGGACAGGGAGGAAAGAAACTAAAGAGAGTGGGCAGAAGATGAGGAAGGCAGGAGGTAACATGAGCAGTAGGCAGGGGGCATGGGGCATGGGCACATCAGTGGGTAGGTGTGCTGTATCTATCTGAGCCACAGAACCAATAAAACTGAAAACACTGCATCCAGACTACAACAACCAAAATTAAAAATAAAGGAGGCAGGCAGGGGTGGAGGGATGTTGACACTGGTGCTGGGATTGGTGTTGGAACCTTGCATGCTTGAAACATGTCATATTCTGAAGATGTTGCTTTAACTCTAAAACAAGGAAGGTCTAATTCTAATGAGGCTCTCAGTCTCAAGTCTCTCTCCTCTTCATCCACACTATCAAACCCAACACTATCCTTGACAGAACAGAGAAACAAAGCACAGCGCTGTTAGAAATGATAACCCTCACCAAGAAGAAATTAAACATATGAAGTTCTCGATCTAGATTCAATTCTATATTTTAAAACCTCAAATCTGAAAAGAACTTGCCCACATTCTTTTTTTTTCTGGGTCAAGCCTGGCGATGCTCAAGGGTTACTCCTGGCTCTGCACTGGGAAGTCCTCCTGGTGGTGCTCGGGAGACCAAATGGGATGCCGGGGAACAAATCTTAGTCATTCGTGTGCAAGGCAAGCACTGTACCCACTCTACTATCTCTCCAACTGCATTCATCACTAGTTTGGGATATTACTGTATTAGTGTATGTTGTCACTTGAACTTTACCACTGACTTTTCTCAACTTCACTAAATCCCATGTGATTTCAGCTCAAATTCTGAGGGGTGAAAAGGGAGTAGTTTCCACTAATAACATACCAACATGCATTACAGTTCCACAGTTTCTAATTAGTAGGGTTAGTTTACTAATTTTTATAAAGGAAAAAAATTGGTAGGGCCCTCATTTATCTTTACCCACAGGATTTTCCTCAAGGATGAATTATCTACTAGCAATTTGGGCACATCTGTGACTAAAGGACTTCCCATATTTACAGGCCACTTAGTGTTTCTCTTTTGTATATATTCTTGATATTTAATAAGGGAAATTTTACTGAAACCTCATGTCATAATTGAAATTTCTCTCCACTGTGAGTCACCTAGTATTTTTCAGAACAAATGTGACTAAAAGCTGTGCCAACTCATGACATTGATAACGCTTTACCACAGTAAACACAAATGATTAATTATTGTGGCCTCTAAGTAAAGTCTTTCCAAATTCACTACATTCCCTTGTTTCTCACTAAGATGAATTCATGGTATTTGAAAAGGGAAGTATTAGTGAAAATCACTCTCCTTCATAATGAAACACTTCTATTTAGTATACACCATCAGGTGTTCAACAAGATGTGACCTCATTTTACAGATCAGTACTTATGACCTTAGAGGTCTTATTTACTTATCTGAGAATTTCAAGTTATCTAAATTCCAAATAAAAAATTTCTCTTATATTTTATGTATTCATAATGATTTTTTTCCAGCGTGACTTTTTTGATGCTTAAAAAAGGATGCAGTGTAAGCAAAGCCTTTCCCACATTCATTACATTTGTAGGGTTTCTCTCCAGTATGAAATCAATAATGTTGAGTGAGTGATGAGCTCTGGCTGAAGGCTCTGCCACATTTATTACACTGGTAGGGTTTCTCTCCAGTATGAAATCTGTAATGTACAATGAGAGATGAGCTCTGGCTGAAGGCTCTCCCACACTCCTTGCACTTGTAAGGTTTTTCTCCAGTATGAGTCCTCTGGTGTTTGATAAGGGAGGAAGTGTGACTAAAGGCTCTCCCACACTCGTTACATTTGTAAGGCTTCTCTCCTGTATGAAATCGATAATGGAGAACAAGCGATGAGCTCTGGCTGAAGGTCCTCCCACATTCACTGCATTCATAGGGTTTTTCTCCTGTATGAATTCGCTGATGCTTAATAAGTGAGGAAATCTGATGAAAAGCTCTTCCACATTCCTTGCATTCGTAGGGTTTTTCTCCAGTATGAGTCCTCCAGTGTTTGATAAGGGAGGAAGTATGACCAAAGGCTCTCCCACACTCATTACATTTGTAAGGTTTCTCTCCCGTATAAAATCGATAATGGAGAACAAGAGATGAGCTCTGGCTGAAGGCTCTGCCACACTCACTGAATTCATAGGGCTTTTCTCCAGTGTGAGTTCTCTGATGTTTAATAAGGGATGAAATATCACCAAAGGCTCTTCCACATTCACTACATTCATAAGGCTTTTCTCCACTGTGATGTCTATGATGGTGCCTAAGTTCTGACTGGAAATGGAAGAACTTCTCACATTTGTTACATTGATAATATTTCTTCCCTGGATGGTTTCTCTGAGAGGTATTTCTCCCTGTTGTCTGAGTGATCTCTGTCACTTTTACAGAATCCTTCTCCTGTGGAAATAAAAGGCTGGTTAGTAAATCAAACCTTGTCCTAAATTTAGTTCACTCATGACCTCTCCTGTGTGGTCATTGGAATTTTCTTTCAGGGGTCTTTTCAGTTTGTTTCAATTGCATCTCCACCTGACCATCACACTAAAGGAAGTTTCAGTTGTGAGAGCCAGAGCTCATCTATAAAGTGCTTTTTCCACTGATGTTATCTACAATTCTTCCTTAGAAAGTCCCTGACTTCTCTGTAATTTCTTGGCTCTAGGCATTCTTTCATGATCTGGAAAAAACAAAATATATTCCAGGATAACTTGTTTTAGGTGCTAAGAGAAAGCATATTTAATTATCTTATAAATATTAGATAACTTATTTAAGATAAAATTATATCTAAAAGAAGTGTACAGTTTCCTTTAAGTCGGCATGTGTCTTAGGAAGCTTTGGAGGCAAAAGAGAAAAAAGGTAACTGGAAATTGGTATAACCTTAGAGAACTTTGTTTGCATTCCAGGACCCAAGATAAGTTCAAAGTTTTAAAGGAGAGAGGAGAAGAGAAAGTGACCTCTACAAAATCTTTATTATATTAATCTCTGTTATATACATATAATATATGTAAAGCACTATATATGATTGTGATTGAAAGAATAACTCCAGTATATTTTCTAATAGAGGCCTCCACAGCAATTTCCAGGCACCACCAGGACTACACCAAGTGCTCAGGAAGTGAGACATACAGTGTCAAGGAACGAACTTGGGGCCTTTAGCATGCAACGTATGTGCCCCACATGTCTGAACTATCTTCCTCAACCCAGCAAAGTAATTCTCCCAAAAAAATCATCATTGACAGAATGCCAAGAACCTATATTTGTCTTTATATGTAATTAAGACCACAGACCTTAAAGTGTGATTATCTTAAATTGTTCAGGTATAATCACATGAGATCGTCCAATCATAGTACATTTTTGCCAAATTGAGAGATGTGGTGTTAAAAGTACTCAACCAATTCCAATCTAAAAAGGAAGAAGGACACCTGGATCCCAGGAATGTGGCAGTCTCAAGAAGAAAGGGGCATGTGCTAGCTTGCAGGGAACAAGGATGTAATCATCTTAGTGTTGTGCCAGGAATAGAGTCAAAAGGCATCAGAGTGCATGTTTTCCATGCTTCCATGCTTGAGGCCCTGAGTTGCATACCTAGTACCATGAGGAACCCTGAGCATTGTCAGGAGTAGCCTTGATGACCCTCAGCATCACTGAGGAGACCCATAGAGGTAGACACACACACACAAAAGCAGACACACAAAAGGAGCCTGGTGTTATACTACAAGGAATTGGGTCTTAAGTGAACAGGCAAAAATTCTCCAGGCACTTTTGAAAGGAATGAAATTCTGATGACATAGTGACTGTGAACTCATTTATAATTTTTAATCTATGAACTAAGGTAATAACTTTGTAAGGCATAAAGTCAGTTAAGTATGTAACCACTGTCTCATCAAGGGAGTTAAAGCAACAGTACAACAGGCAGAGCACTTGCCTAGCATTGGGCTGACCCAGATTAGATCCCTGGAATTCCATATGGTACCCTGAGCGGTAGGGCGTTTGTCTTGCACGCAGCCAACACGGCTGACCCGAGTTTGATTCCTCTGCCCCTCTCGGAGAGCCAGACAAGCTACTGAGAGTATCTCGCCCCCCATGGCAAAGCCTGGCAAGCTACCCGTGAAGTATTCTATATGCCAAACACAGTAACAACAGTCTCAAAATGGAGATGTTACTGGCCCTGCTCGAGAAAATTGATGAACAACAGGAGGACAGTGACCCTGAGCCTCACTAAGAGTGATCCCTAATGCTGGGTCATGAGTAAGCCCTGACTACAGTCTTGCAAGGCCCCCAAACCAAAACAATATGAAAAATTTGTCTCAACAATAGAGTGCTATACAATAATATAACTTCTCAAGAGGGAAATGACTACTGCTCTCTTTAGTGCTCCCAGAAGGTGAATTCTAAGTCAACAGGTCTTGTGTAATTCCTAGGTATGTGAATATTTAACAAGCTCCCTCAGAGATTCTGAAATACAGCCATGTTAGAAGACTTCTGTAGATAGAGCTTGATTATGAGACTGTCCCAGACATCAAACTATCACTCTTATTCTGGAAGGGAAAATATCAAGAAAGAACTATTACAGAGGTCACATCTTCCCTTTTGTCCTCTATAATAGGTTCCTATGATGAGTACCAACTGTTAGCATTTGGAAACTGTCTTCTAATCTTTAGTTCTGGCCTAAGGTTATGATTCTGCCTCAGAGATGGCCAGATTCATTAGCCTCTAATATGACTAGGCTACACATGCCCTTCCACAGAGTTCTGGGTCCAGAATTCTAGTCTAAGAGATAGGTTAAACTAATTATTCTCAAATCATCTAGAAATAAATAGTGTCCCAAAATTTTCATCAACAGTTGGAAAGGTACAATCCTTGTTCCTGGAACCATGTCTCTTGAGATTTAATTCATCAATTTTTTTAAGTAGTCTCACCTTCCTATTTCTAACACCATGTATGTCCTCATATGCAACCATTTAATTTCTGGCTACTCAACTGTGGTAGTTGATCCCTTCCTAACCCCCTTAACTAGAATGGCATAGGATTCCAAACCAACCAGGACTTTGGTGACCATATAGTGGAATCAAGAACCCAGAAGTGAACAGAAATGGGTACCAGGAAATGGTAATTCTAGATCCTCCCAAATGTAAAGTTTTTAGGGGGTACATGCCTTGTGGTTCTCAGGGAATTCTTGTGATAGGAAAGACCCTGAAGGTGCTTGGGGGTGCCATTTGTACTGTCAGAAATACAACTAAAATCAGCTGCATGCAAGGCAAGTGCTTTACCTCCTATATTATCTCTCTGTACCCCCAAATTTACATTTCTTTGCTAAAATATTGAAGATATTTATAAAAGCCTATGAATAACAATACTGGAGCTGAGAAATGTCAAGCCTGATACAGTCATAGGGAAGTCACCATGACCATGGGCTACTTCCCACCCACAGTTAATTTTTATGTCTAATGCTGTGGCTTCACCTCTGTTGGCACCAGTTGAGATATCTTCCTCCATCATGCAAGGCTCTTTCCCTTCCTCCAACTGGCTGATCACATATGGTTTTGACACTGAAAGCCCTGATGACAGAGAAAGAAGAGCATCATAACTCTGTACCTAAGAGTGAAGGCTTTGACCCTTGGTCTTGAGGATAGATAAATAAGATAAGTGTGGACAGCTTCCAAATAATAGGCAATTTGAAATGTTAGGAGCAGGATAATTTTATCTGGAGCAGAATCTTTCCTAGGAACAAGGAAATAAATATCAATGGGTCACAAAGAGATTAAGTGTCTTACTTCAAATCCTCAGAGGAAAAAAACTCAGCCAAGGAGCATACACACCCCAGATTTTAAATAGAAGGGAAATAGGCTGGTCTGATAGGAAGTTTATGGGCTTTGGAATTGCGCTTACCTAGAGAGGCCAGGTTCTTAAAGTTCTCCAGCATGACCTCCCTATACAGGTCCTTCTGAGTAGGGCCCAGCTGGCCCCACTCCCACCACATGAATTCCACAGCCACATCCTTGAATGTCATCAGATCCTGAAACACACATAAGATACTCCTGCATCTGAATGAGAATACTCATATCCTTAGGAAGACTTGTAGAGAGATGTCTCGCTAGATCCTTGGGGTGCTCATGAAGGGATTCCTCGTTTTCATGGCTATTGCAATGCCCACCTACGGACTGTATTGTAACATAGCTTAAGGTGCTTCTGATTACTTGGTATCCTACTCTACCCAGTGCCTACTTATGTCAACATGAAGATGCTTAGAAATATAGTGTGACATAAATATAAATATATAGTTAATATATACAAATATATATTTAATATAAATATATGTAAATTTATATAAATCACACCCACATAGGCATTCTATTAAATAGGGGATTAAAATGTAATGATTTTTCCATTAGTAAGAGGTTTTACTCTCAATTTAATTGCATTTAGTTAGAGCACATAAGAAGTGACCAATGAATATGATTTGCATTCTCAAATAGCATTCTAATAAAATATTTTAAAATTTGTGATGTGTGCTTTTATCAATTTTAACTAATGCTGAGTAAAAAACATATCTCCCATATCTGCCTGCCAGCAGACAGGACAGTAAATGTAAATAAATTGCTTATAAGTAAGTAATGTAATAATCAACTGTAATCAGTTATTGATATAGTGCATCAACAAGTCTTTTATTTTATTTTATTTTATTTTATTTTGCTTTGTAGGCCACATCCGGCTATGCACAGAGGCTACTCCTGGCTCTGCACTCAGGAATTACTCCTGGTGGTGCTTGGGGGACCATATGGGATGCTGGGAATCGAACCCGGGTCGGCTGCGTGCAAGGCAAATGCCCTACCCACTGTGCTATCTCTCCAGCTCCCCAACAAGTCTTTTAGAAGCCAAAGTCTAATTACTTTTCAAGCAAATCTAAGAATGAGATACTATATCCAGGGGAGATCGGTCACGACAAGGTAATACTATGCTACAGATCCCACCCAGCTTTATTTAGTCCCCCGCTATACTAACAGTTAGAAAGCCCCCCATTTTGACTTATATTGTACAGTAAGTAATCTATTTACTGTGAACTATGAAGCAGAGAAATGTCGTCAATATAAAGTCTTGTTTCCCACCCACCCCTTGAAAAATGTTCAAAATTCAAATCCATGTATGCATTAACGAGTCCATTAAATGAATCAAAGCAACAATTATGTTAATATAAGGCAATCCAAACTGATAAAATGAGGAAAACAGACTACTATAGTTCTAAACCATGAGTGACAGTTTGCATTGTCCTTTCAAGAGAGTTCTATCCAGGGAGCAGAAACAGAATCTGACTCCATTATCAAGCTCAATGGTCCTTACTGAGTCTGCCCAGTGTAATTTCAAAACTACAACAAACCCGGAGCTTCTGGGTTTCTCCCACACTTCTCCTTTCTGCAGAGGAGTTCACTGCAATCATAGTGTCCTTATTGTTTCACTGAATGTTGGATATATGTCTTCAGGAAATTCTTCCCTTTAGTTCATAGGTCTGTCTCCTGATGCAGAGGACAACATCCAGATCTAAACAGTAGACTGTCACACCACCCAGGATGTTGATCCTGATACTTGGATTGGATGGTACTTTTGGTATGCTTCTCTCTTGGGGAGAGATTTCATTTGCAGGATGGAGTGAAGATCATATCTTGAATAAGAGAGTGGTAGACTATTTTTTCATAATACTGCTGCTCCCTTTGAGCCACTTATTACATGAGCCTTGTAAATCCCACCTCACTGACATTAGACTTGGTCACATGGGTCACTTCTGACGAGTAATGAGTAAAAAAGACTGGCAAGTATCTCCTGATTCTGACAATGAACTTTGCACCTATTACAATAACAGCATATCCCAACAGATCAAAGTTGATTCTTTAGTCTGAATCTTCAAGCATAGAGTTTGACATGTAACATAACATGAAGAAGTAACACATCTTTGTTCCTGTGATGACTGGTATCTGGGGGCTGTTACTGCCACAGCAAAACCAAACTAAGCTCTCTAATATACCTCTAAGTGGTGTACATCATGGCAAAGAAGTTTCACTATTACTCTACTAATTTGGAGAGAATTCCTATTGATGAGGGTTCCCTTGCTGACTAGAAAATTAAATGTTTATCATTAAGCTAGAATTCTAATAATACACCATCTTGGATACTAGAAAACCAAGCAGGCTGGCTAACAGTGCCCTTGAGGTGGTTCTCCTTACACATCCAGGCTGCCATGCCAAACCAAAATCTACTGAATAACCATTATTCCCATCATTTGACCACAATCAAAACAAACAGGAACTAAGCGATGACCATTTGTCAGAGGACTCCAAAACCCGCAGGAGGCTGTTGAATTACTGAGTGGTTAAAATGCTGAAGTCGGATACCTGGCATTGAAAGCAGACGCTCACTAGCAAAGCAGAGCATGCTTTATTTCTCTGTCCCTCGCCTTCCCAGGTGTTTACGCATCTGTGCATCTGTTGCCATTCTTCAAAATAAAAAATGTTTTAAGATATATGAATTTGTATATAGAAATCCCGTGGGAAAATTCAGGATACATATTTTATTTAAAATAAATCAAAGTCATTTCAATTATTATTACTAACATGGTTATAAAAAACATTTTACAACTGGAAAAACCAAAGCTTATTTATACTTCTTAAGTGACTTATCCCAGGCACACAGCAGGAAGTAGAAAAATCTGTCTCCTCACTAGTCCAGAAAGGGAACATCTGGGATACTTTTTGTTTTATTTATTTTGGGGTTTTGTGGGGGGGGTTGGTGTGTTTTGTTTGGTTTTGATTTGGAGGCTACACTTAGCAGTGCTCAGGGCTTACTCAGGAATTACTCCTGGGGGTGCTTGGGGGACCATATGGGATGCTGGGGATTGAACCAGGGTTGGCCACATCCAGGACAAACACCTTACCCACTGAACTATCTCTCCAGCCCCCAGAAAGGGACCATGTGAAAGATAACTAGACGCAAGGGCTTTCATCACCTGTCCATACCATCTGAATCTCTTTCCCACTTTGTCCATCAGGCTTAATCAAACTCTCCTGAAGAAGATGATGTTCAACTTCCACACAAAAAGTTATCTGCGTGGCTCCATCTGCCATCACCTGAGAGCAGGGAACAAGTGGAAGGTAAGCAGGGACAGAGAAGTGAGCAGGTCTCTCTAAAGGAACAAACCACAAGGACCCAGGCAACTTTGCACCCTGTCCATGGTTTCCTGTGCTAGAAGACAGCCTGCACGGCACTGTACCCCAAAGGGTACCCAACAACAGAGCCAATGGCTGCTTTCTGTCTGCAAGGAGCCAAGATTCACCTCTCCTGGAGACGTCTAGAAAAGTCACTAAGACCCCTCACCCAACACCATGAGATTGCCTGTCCTCTAATAAACATTCTTCACCTTGCCGCCACCTCTCTCCATGGAGTAAGGGATAGACCACAAACCCCAGCAATTATCCCATGCTGGTCACAACCTTGCCTAGCTTTTGCAGAGACCCTCACCTCTGCGAGTGTGACACTACTCCAAGGTCAGGGCTTTCTCACCTGACTTGGGACATCCCAGTAGAGAAATAAACCAAAAGCTGAGCAGGCAGATGTCCTAGATAAGGCATAAGGAATTCAACCTCTACCGTGATGAGTTCCACTTCCTGCCAAACAGGAAGAGAGGGGCAAAATCCTCCGACAATCAGACAAACTTCAGAGATGAAGAGGCAAAGACATCGACAGTTCATCCACTTGTAGAAAACCCAGCACATCATAACTCACCTGGGGCCTGGCCTTCAGGAAGAAGCGGGTGCTTCTCTGTCCTGGGCCTCTCTCTGGAGGAAGAGCAGGACTCAGGCAAGGAAAAACTAGGAAAGTGGAAGAAGTGGTCAGAAAGGACACCCCATATGGATGTTATGCCTCCCATCCCAGTTCCCCGACTTGGAGATTCCTCCAGAGACCTTCAAATTTCACCTCCATGAATCAGGGTCAGTGTTGGATCACAGTTTGCTGGGGGCCACAGCCAGCCTGCTTGCACCAGAGGACACGTGCCCTCCCCTGCACCTCTGTAGTCTATGTCACAGTAGAATGCAGGGAGCTGAAATGGTCAAGAGGCCACTTCACTGGATAGTTCTTCTCTGGGCTCCCAATAGGCAGGTTTCTGGAAATATAAACATGGAAGGCCTTCAAGGAAGTTTAAACCTAGCCTAAGACAATTTAACAATAGCAAACCAAGCCCACAGCAGGCTATGGGATGCCGTGGGCCTTTATGGGGGGAAGGTGATTCCGCCCAAGGCAGCTCAGATGCCAGCTCTTTCTGAGACATTGCTCTCCTGCTCCTACCCACTTTGGGTCTCTGCCACATAGTAAGAGTCACCTAGTATAAAATTTTGCATCATACAGCTGAAACCTCACCAAAAAGTAGGCCCTGAAAACAGGCAGGCTTGAGGCATGGTCAGGAAAATGGAGACAAGGGTGGAGGGAAGGTGATGGTGGTGGTGGGATTGGGGTTGGAAAAATGAGTGCTTGTAACAAATGCATCATGAATGACTTTCTAAACTTATGGAGTTTAAATAAAGTGAGAAAAAAATTGAACCCAAATCACACAAGAGAAGTGATTATGGTTACGACCATAGAGGCTAGCAGCGGGCAGGTGGTACAGAATAACACAATTCAGCGCCACAGAAATTCAAGGCACCCAGTGCCCCACGCCTGCCTGAGGATCTCATCAGACAGAATCTGCTTTGATATTTTTCTATATAAGCCAGTGACACAGACAAAGGTGGAGGGGAGAGAGGGGGCAGGGGCCCCAGAGAGTTAGCCCTGTTCTGGCCAATTTGGGGACCTTTAACGTGTGCACTGAACAAGAGAATGCCAATTAATATGTCCTTTTCATGAAGAACGGGAGTTTCTAAACTAAGACCTCAATGGCCTAAGTCCTGGGTCACCTGGAGGCATATCCTCCGTATGCACAGTGGGGACAGCAGTTACACAGCCAGGTGAGAGCTGCAGGATCTTATCATCACTTACTGGAGTGACAAAGCACATGGGTCTACTGACACTGAGCTCGGACCAGGCTTGGACTCAGGCTTGAGGCCAGGATTGTTCCCGGTCTCAGGGTGCTGCGGTGTCACGCCCCAGGGCCGTGGAGTCTGGGGGGCGGGCATCCTGGATTCTCCCTAGGGTCCTTCCTAGGGTCCTCCTACTGGGCTTCTGCCCTTCTGCACCTTGAGATTCAAACCTGGTGCTATGGCATCCATGGCTGCGGCCAAACAGCGACGTCCTCGTCTCGCCAGGTCCTGTCACTTTCCTTTCGCCCTCCGGAGAGTCCAGGGACCAGCGTGCAAGGGGGGCGGCCCGGGCATTCCCACTCGCGGGGGCGGGGGGGGGGGCGCGCAGCGAACCCGCAGGAGGGAGCACGGGCCGGCGCTGCAACCTGCAGTCCCTTCCAAGTCCCACAGCCCTTTGCGCGCGGGCACAGGAGGGACCCTCCCGATTCTGCACCGGCTCCAGGGCTCTGAACTCCGCTTAAGAGTCAAGCCCAGTAAGAGCCGACGCCCACCTCCTCGCTAGAGCCCGCCGGGCCTGCTCACAGGGGCCGCGGCGCGAGTCAGGGCAGCTGGAAGGGCGGCGCCTGCGCCCTGCGGTGCTGGGACCAGTGCTAGGGAGCAGCGTGCGCGGAATCTGGGGGAAGGGGTGGGTTCCCTCTGCACACAGCCGGCACACTCCGACCCCGGGTCTGCCGACTGAGAGCAGCCTCCAAGCTGGGAGAGCGGCTGGATCCTCTAGCCCAGAGCTTTCCAGTATTAAGTACTGCGCATTTTCAGAACCAGCAGGTCCAACCCTGAACCTATCAAATAAGGACATCTGGGAGTCTCTCCAGAACGTGTGCTTCTCGTAGACGCCCAGGACACTGTGAACTTGTTGCTGGCTACTCACTGCCTTGCCCCCCAACTCCAGTCTTATGTTTTGGGTTTGGTTTGGGTCCGGGAAGATTAGCTGTAAGCGAGATTTAGATGAGATGAAACCCAGGTGTGCTGTATGCACGGCAGGCATCTAACTTGCTGTACAATCTTTCCAGTCCTCTGACAGTTTTTTAAAACACAGTTGACTAGTGCTTTTGTAAGCAGAACTGAAGCACAGAACTATTTGCCTTCTGTGCAGTCTGACAGAAAGAGCCCCTAGAGCTCCAGCAGCCACATCTTCCTATTTCAGCTGGTAAGGAGCCCCGTAGGGAAGCAGCAATGTGTTCACAATCTGATGAGGGCTCTGTTGTATTCTAAACAGAAAGAATCTTCTCACTGTTTCTGAGTTTCTTAACACCCATTTGCCCTTCCTAATGTGAAAAGACAAAATTCTGTTAAATCTTTCTAGTAAAGTGGCAGCTTAGCTATTTTCAACAGGTTTCCTTAATTGAAAAGGTTGAAAATTATAAAACATTATTTATAACACAATGGTTATTAGTCACAAAGTGAGAGCTTTGCCTTTAAAAAAAATAATAGAGTAGCAAACCTGGCTTTTACCCCCTTAATCTTGGAGAACTTCAGCTTCCACTTTGACAGGTACCTGAGGTAGTAGAAACAAAGTTGACCTGCCCTGGGGTTGGGAATATAAAACAAAATCCATCTAAGAGCCCCCACATCTCAATTCTCAACATGCCCAAATAAAAAAGTCAACACAGAAAGGGGAAAAACTGTCTTGCACGTCACACTTTTAATCAAGTCGAAACCTAGGAAAGTCTTAGCCCAACACAAAGTGGGCCTCAATGTGGTTCTACACTTCTATGATTACCTCAAAAGCTTATCCACCACCCACTGTCTTATTACTAACTCATTACACTTTTACCCTACAGCTAATACCTTCACAGGTGCCATTTTTTTTTATCTTTAGCTCTTTTCTTTGGAGCCATAGCACAGTGGGTAGGCATTTGCCTTGCATGCAGCCGACTCAGCCGACCTGGGTTCAATTCCTCCGCCGCTCCTGGAGAGCCCGGCAAGCTACCGAGAGTATCTCGCCTGCACAGCAAAGCTTGGCACTACCCGTGACGTACTCAATATGCCAAACACAGTAACAAGTCTCACAATGGAGATGTTACTGGGCCCGCTCGAGCAAATCGATAAACAACAAGAGGACAGTGCTACAGTGCTTTTCTTTGTTTAATGTAATTTTATTTTTATAAAGTGGTTCACAATATTTGATTACATTTAATAGTTGAACACCAATCCCACCATCATTTCACCTTCCCACCACTATATTTTGGATGTTTCCAACCCCAACCCCAACCCCTGTCCCAAAGCAGGACCGAAATAGTTTTGTATTGTTTGTTATGAATAAACCACTGAAAATGCTCCAAAAAACTTTCCTTAGAGGAGACTGTGTGAAGATTGTTGTATTTCACCCAGGGACCTTTAAGTCCTTCTATAAGATGTTACTATATGTTGTTAAGGGTTGAACCTTGGGTGCTTACACACACACATATATAAAAATACATTTCCCTTTAAGGTTGGTTGCCTTCTACTTTAAACCCATCAAATGTGGTGAGCTACTTTTAGAGTATAACTGGTGTGAGGTATGAGATATTACATTCGCAGTTGCATGATACAGGGATAGGCCTATTCATGAGTGAGGCTCTGCCCGAGCATGGAGAAAGCAGCCATGAACATGTCAGCGTTGAGTTCTGGAGGTTTTGGGCTACTGTGGCTGGGTCTCTTGGGGCAGGGAATGGCCTCACCTGACCTCCTCTAGGTTGCCCTAATGAAACAGCCTGGTGTTCTATAAAACAGCCATGTTTCTGGCAGCATGGCTATGGCACTGTCGTTTTATGCTCTCTTCAGAGAGAAAAGGACAATGAGTCTCTGGATTGTGACCATTGATGAGATTATCTGGCACCAGCCAAAGGTGGCTTTTGGGTGTGACTGCAGAGTTGCCAAAAACGTGGGGGTACACATGGGCGGAGGTCACCTGGAGTTTTCATTTTATTGAGGGTGATGAGTTCATTTTATTGAGGGTGGTTTTTTTGGGGGGGTGCATACCAGAAGTTCTCAGAGCTTTCCACTGCTAGCTTTAATCAGGGATCATTCCTACATGTCTCAGAGGGAACTTATGAGGTGTCAGGGATCAAACCCAAATCAGCTGTGTGCAAGGCAAATACCCTACACTGTGCTATCGCCTCACCCGCCCCCCTCCGGGGTGCCCCGAATGAAACAGCCTGGCGTAAGGTCCAGCACCATGGCTATGGCGAGTCATTTTATGCTCTCTTCCGAGGGAAGGTCAATGAGTCTCTCTTTAGCTCATTTCTTTCTTAAGAAAGTAATTCCTCTTCAAGTGTACCAGTCACAGAAATCATTTTCAACTTTTTGGGACATGTAACTGTGACTCTGTTGTATCCCCTTGTTGGAAACTAGGATAGAGATAAAGGAGCTCAGGATGTGGAGTTTATGGGACCTTTCAACCCAGAATGCTGGCACTAAGACTGAATGCTGCCCAGGTACGGGGCCTGTGACTGCTCTACCTTCACTTTCTCTCCTTCGCTTTCTCTCCAGGAAGAATCTCCCCTAGATAAAGCCCATTACAAAGTTATTTATCTCAAGAAACTAAAGTCCTTGTATATGTAAAAGTTTTGACCAGATAGATTAAGATAGTTTGGCACTGACGAAAGACTTTCCGAGTTCTGGTTCTAAGCAATAAATATTGTACGTGGAGTACTGTCAAGGCTCTTAATCTATGGGGCTGTTAGCCCTTATCCCATGCTTTTTCTCTTATTTCTGTCTCGTTTCTTGATTCTCTTCGTGCCCCTGCTTTAGGCCTGTTCATCCCATGCTCGGGCAGTCCCCAGCACCACCCACTCCCCATGTCCTGGGTGTATTCTATAAAACACACTAATGTCTTAGTTGTTTTTTTCCATTAGACATTAAAACTCTTTGGTAACATTAACTTGCCTCTTTTATATTTGTAAACAATGTTTTGCTCATGATAGGCAATTAGGGTTGAGTGGAAGTGCAGACTTGGCTCATGACAGGCAATTAGGGTTGGGTGGAAGTGCAGACTTGTTCCTGCGGTACAATTTTGTCATATTCTTGGTATCATATCTAGCTTTCCCTGAAGATCTAGCTTATTGGTGCTTTGATTCAGCTGCACTATAGAATCACCTACAAGATCTTCAGACTGTGTCGCAAGCATCAATTCAATCAAAAGCATTTCAGGTGGTTCTGTCGGTCGGCCAAGATTGACAGACCTTGTGATGCCACCAGCCCAGGCACTGCTGGTTGGTAGTACACAGGAGGGCTGACTGGAGCACACTCAAACTGCCGCGAGGCGGGCGGGTGACTAGTTAAAACACACGTCCTGGATTCTTCTTCCAGTGCAAATTTCTTTTTTTTTTTTTTAACCCGGCGTGGGTTAAAATAATAAAATAATATAAATAATAATAATAAATATTATTATTTATTATTATAAAAATAATAAATATAAATAAATAATAAAATAAAATAATAAATCCAGTAATAAATGGATCTCATTCCCCTAGCCCTGATTATGCAGAGTCGAGAAGGATATGGAAGGAGAAGCTGATAAAACACCAAGGCAGACATGGGCTGCCAAAACGCAGAAAAACAAAAATGATTGTCTGTACTTTTAATGCTCGTACGCTGGCATCTGCTGCATCCATTGAAGACCTTATGGTACAAGCACGAAAGATCAAGTACGACATCATTGGTCTGACCGAAACGAGAAGACATCAATCCCATCATGCTGTTTTCGACACTGGAGAAGAACTGTTCCTTGGAACATGTGATAAAAGAGGCGTCGGTGGTGTCGGTATCCTTGTCAACACAAACTTAGTCACAAGCATTGATTCATTTGAATGCCTAACAACCCGAATCGGACGATTACACTTGAATAAATGTGGCTCACTACCGGCAGTTTCTATCTTTGTTGTCTACGCACCAACATCCAGTTATGGTGAAAAAGAAACTGAGAAATTCTACATGGAGCTGGAGAAATTTTATAAAGAAGATCACACCTTCTACAAGATCATTGTTGGTGATTTT